AGAAGAAGAAGAAAAAAACATCATTATAAATACAAAAACTTTGAGATTTAATTATTATATTATAAATTGTGTTTAGCATGAGACAAAACTCAGTATTATGGAAGTATACATATGTCACAATGGCGGTACCACTTTCTAATAAGTCAAAAAAGGTGTCATTAATGGGTTTTTGGTTGTTAATAGACTTATTCAAAGCCATTAATAGGAAAGGTGTAAATACTGTCAACATTTATAGTCTAATTGTAGTTACAAATAACTAAATACATTTTAGTCTCATTTTCATTATTTTTATGCAGCGTTTTTAATATTTACTGTATATATTTATCTTCATTCTGGTTATGTATTTACCATGGTTACATGTGTTGTTCCCATCTATCCTGAGGTTTGTTGATTTACACAGCGTCCCTCTGCTCTGCAGAAGTTGGACTCACTCACATTTGGATTAAAATCCTCTTCACTGGGTTCAGATTTAAGAGGTGATTCAAAACTTTCAGATAACAGTGAGATCTCTGCAGGGAACATTTATGGTTGACTGCCTGCTTTAAGGTAATTGTATTAGAAAGTGCTACCATAATACTGTTGTTATATAGGAATACTGACAACTTCCCCTTCAAGGGTGCAGGTTCAATTTAATCCTGGAATTGACTAATTCCTTGTGATAGAAACACAAAACACATCCAACTGAAAGGAATGTTAATGTTACATCTACATTCATATGTTTTATATGGCATGCTGCTGCATTTTCCGAGTGTCAACTGTTTTGTTTGTTTTTGTTTTGTGTGTGCTCTGTTCTCCTTCTTATGCCATCATTCCACTGCCACCGGGAATTGTTGGAACTATCCCGTACTTAGGCCACCTGGCCAGCTATTGGTCCAGGCTGCCACAGTATATGTTTGTGTTTCTGTTGCACAGAGTGAGCATTGCTCTTGTAAAGTACATCAAGGTGCCGTCTTCTGCGTGACCCAAACGAACATCAACAGTAGGCACACAACAGAGCACACATGGATTTGATAAACAAAGCTGTTATACTGACTTCCATTTATTCCTTCCTAACAGCCTACCATCTCCTCCTTTCTTTCTTTCATTTTTTTTCTCTTTCTTTGGCTGAGACGCTTCCTGTCACTCAAGTTTTCTCTCTTGCAATCAGAATGCAGTGACATACAGCTGAGCTTGGGACGGAGTAGCACACTCCTGGATTTGGGCCTGAGAAGGGCCACATATCATGCTTTTCACCCCGGCCATGGACCATTTCTGAGACAATGGAACATGCAAATATATATGGTATGGTTCCTAGTTGCAGTGGAATAACGGCACTAGACAGCAAGTAGGCAGATGTGATTCAGTCCACATCAACATCCCAGCTGTTTTTCTCTGGCAGTGAATGCCTGCTGGGTATGAAGCTAAGCCCCTGTGATGTTACTTAATTAAACCCTGCTGAAGTAATGGTAATAGTTGCTTACTTTTGCAACAGTAGTTCACCTAAAGGTGGGTGAAGTATGCTCACCTGCCTTTCTTTATGCCCCCCTACAGTATGATTAATGGCTATGCATAAGTATATCATTTATCAACCCTTATTAAAGCTATGACTTACAGCTACCTTGTATAAAAGGTAATTGTATTAGAAAGTGCTACCATAATACTGTTGTTATATAGGAATACTGACAACTTCCCCTTCAAGGGTGCAGGTTCAAATGCAGAGTTTTCAAAAGTATTTGTACAGGTCAGTAACCCTGACCTCCTGGTGAATATTGCCTTTTCTTACATCAAAATGTAAACAGGGCAGTGACAGTAAAAAAAAACAGACTAATGACAGACTCTCACATAGTGTGCTGTATCCAGAGATCAGAGAACTCGCTGAAGGAAAATGCTAACGGATGACAATGATGTAAACACAGCAGGGTGGACAGCAGGACACTGCCACATAAGGTCCACTGCCAGAAGGAACTCTACATGTAGGTTAGCTGAGGTTGGTCTCATGCGTTTTCCATTTATTCTTCGCTTGTCTTGCTATGAGCATGCTTCCTGATTGGTCCTTGGCTCATTTTAGCTGGTGCTCTTGTCGACCTCCCCAGTGCTCTCTGTCTTTTGGCTCTGTTCTTCTATGGCTATCACACAACTGGACTCTCCATCACTGTCCACACATTTGTCAGAGGGTCTGTGATTATGTGCATCTGAGGATATGTTATCTTTTTCATCAGTCTGTGTAGCTAACGTGGTGTTTTGGCTAGCAGAGTCTGTTTTAACGTTGTTGAGTGTGAGCAGCGTCACTGTTGGGTAACCATTGTTTTCATCGGTAGCAACCTCGTGGGAGTCTGTGGCTGGGTTGGAGGGACTCACATTGCCACGCCGACAGCAGCAACAGAGTATCCTGATAATTGGTCTGAATATGAATCTGTACAGGCCATGGCGGGCACTTTCACTGACAAAGCAGTAGAGAGCAGGGTCAGCCACACAGTTCAGGGTGGTTAGCAACAACGACAGGTGGTAGTAATTAAATATTCCTAGGAAAAAAAATAAAGGCCATGTGGTTAAGGTATATTTTCATTCTTGTGCACTGGAACACTTTCCAAAGATGTAACAATACCTGTAATAAAGTTGCAGTCCCGCTCCAGCAGGGTGCGTACTAACAGGAAGACGTGGTATGGGGAGAAGCAAACCAGGAAGATGAGGATGGTACTGCTAACTAACTGCCTGATCCTTGTCTTCTGATCTGGCTGTGTCCCCGCACTCCGACCCACAGCACGAAGGACACACAGGTAGCTGATCTGGATAGAAACATCAGTGATCCATAAGCGATCCATTAAAGTCATGGTCAGGAATACTAACTACTTCATATTTCCACTGAATAGTCTCCTTTTCTTCATTCTCTGTCATTGTCTGTTGACCTGGTGTCAAGTTGACATTTCTTCATTCATACTGTAGTAGTTAAGAACTGTGTGTTCAAGTTAGTATACACAAAGAAAACTTTTTTTTTTAAATGTGTCAAATTAAAAAATGTCAATATGAAATAAAAATCCAATTTGTTTTGCTGCTTTACAGTTTAAATTTGTCATTTACAGTTTAAATTTGCACCCAAATGGGTGCAAATGTGGCCACAATTAGAACGGCATGGTAAACTTTCTTTCATTTCCCAGGATTCTCTGGAATCAAAGATAGAATCAAATGGGAGTGCTTCTGTTGTCCCTCACACCCACTGGTGCTCTTGGACAGATAAACATGTAATTTAAAGAGGTAAAAAATGTGCTCTCATCCATGGGTGCGGTGTGGCATAAAAACATCCAGGCCCACACGCGGATGGTTCAAAATGAAAAGTCCTATTAAATATGAGTTAAGACATTAAAAAATACACCGGTGTTTATTTGAACACTTGTATTACACAGGTTGTCCTTACACACAATTAAACCAAACCTGTAGGAACTAATCGGTTGTCCTTACACACAATTAAACCAAATCAGTAGGAAGTAATTTCACACACCTGTGTTGAGTGAATGTAGTGCATATATAAAAGGATCCCTTACAACACTAGGCATAGTTTAGGTTTCCACCTATGGAAGCTGTGGTCAGGTTCCTAATGTAAGCCTGGGCGTCTGACTCTGTCACCACTTCTGATGTCCAAACCTATGGCCTCTTTGTCTGTAAAGGAGTTGCTGCCACAGGGTAAGTTGGATTCCAGTACAAATAGCATGGTGCTGTTCAATTACCCTGTTTCCCAACCTTTTTTTAGTATGGCATGTGTAGTAACAGCCACAGAGACACTCAGGTCTGTAGACTACATGAATGGCATTACAGCTCACAAAACCCATAACTGTAGTGACTGTTTTATGAGGAGTATTATTGAAACCCTTGTTATAGAATACTGGTACAGTTGTCACAGTATGCACAGAGAACATGCCCTTGGGTGTTCTGTGTGCCATTTTGGTCCTGGTAAACTGAACTAATATTTGAAATATCTGTAATGTATAGTTTAATAAATTTAGATAAAGGCTGTGTTACTGGTTCATCTTCCCTGGTGAGTGGTCCACTGGTGGGTTCTGTAAAGAGTTATGAGCTTTTGGAAGCATATAGAACTAGACAGGTCACTGTCCCCATAATGCCATTATGCCTAAAAGCAATATTCCCATGATGGTTTGACTGTCATTATATGATTCCCTGACAATGAAAACCTGCCCCTAGCATCTGTAATCACATCATTATTATTTTGAAAGTTGTTCAAGAAAAAAAATTTCTACACTGGTGGTTTTCTTAAGTAGATTACTCTGCAATAGTCTTAGGCCACCATGAGATTTGTTGTTTTAGAAATGCTATAACTATATATGTTTCTCAGCCTCTTTATCACAATGCAACTAGAAAATATAGGAAATATGCACACAATATTAAAAAACACAAAAATGTCAGAAAAAATGAGCAAACAAACGGGATACTCAAGATGGGGTACTCAAGCTGTTCTAAGGAAATATGAAGAATCCAGGAAGGTCAGGCACAAGGAATGGTAGAGCAAGAGAACTTTCAAAACTTGATGAGAAGTACTGTATCTCAGAGTTTCCTCTTTGAAATACTGGAGGAAATCCAGCAGGGACCTGGCTCAGCATGTGGCAGCTTCATATGGAGGCCAAGAAGCTTGATCGGGAACGGCCTTTGTGGAAGGACAACAGCCAAGAAACCACTTTTTCACAAGGGGTACAGAGAGAGAGTTCAGATGTTCAAAAGTCTGTAAAGATTAGAGTGAAGATCAGTGGAAAATGGGACTATGGAGTGATGAATCAAAGTCTGAAATGTTTGGGTTCAATCGTGAAACATGGTGGAGGGTCTGTCATGGGTTCGAGACTTCTAGGCAGTGTGTCCAACAAAATTCAAGCTGTGCTAAGTGCAAAGGGAGGTCACACTAAAGACTGACTTTGGACTGGATAAGCCACTTTGTTCTGAACATTTTTTGCTTTTAATACTGTACATATTTCCTGTATTTTCTGGTTACATCTTAATAAAGAGACTGAGAAATAAATATAAATTATCATTACAAATTTGCTAAAACAGCAAAACTATGGTGGACTAAGACTTTTGCACTGTAGCTTAGTAACTTTTGGTGATACTTCAAATCTCTTGACACTCTACTGAGTAAGCGGAGTTTCTGGCAGAAATGGATCTGATTGCAAGTCTATAGCATTAAACTATGTTGTGTCACAGTAGTGAATTTTCTCTGAACTATAAATAAATGTGAAGATTCTGGACTAGCACATCTGGAATATTACCTGGAACCAGCTCAGACGTTTGTGTCTGGTAGATCTTATGAGGATGTTAGCATTCTAGGCTTTGTGTATGAAAAAGATTCCCGTATCTGGATGATGATCCCAAATATAATGAATTGTTCCATGGGCCATACCCTTTTTAAGACATTTCATCAAAATCCATTCACTTTTTGAGTTGTGCTGTGAACAAACCAACAGTAAAAACACAACCTCCTTGGTGGAGGCACTGAGGGAAGCTGAGGATATTCACTGTCAGGGAGCCAGTGTTCATTTTCAGCTCTCTGTGAGTTTTGTTTTTATGTTTTCCAAAGGACTGAATGAGAGCCAAACATATTATTTATTGCTATTTAGCTGACATATGACCACAACTGACCCCCTTTATCTACATTTTTAATGACATTATCACTGTCACTGATTTACCTTGTATCAAATTGTAATTTGGATTTCTCCTGTTTTTCAAAAAGCTTGTCAACTTCATGTGAAACCTTTTGTTGAAGTCATTTCATGTGGAATCTGTGCTTGGCCATAAAAAATGAATAAAACTAATTTGACCTTGGTCTGAAAGGAGAATTCACATGCTTGGCATGATCAGTATTTGTATATGAGCAGGGGTTGGAATGACACGATACGTTCACATGTAGAGGCCAATAGATGTAGTAATGATTCTTACATATGGACGACTGTGGCTCAGGAGGCAGAGCAGGTCGTCCCCAATAGTAGGGTTGGCTGTTTGATCCCTGGCTTCTCCAGTCCACATGTTGCACTGTCCTTAGGCAAGACACTGAACTCCAAGTGGCTCCTGGTGATATCACTGGTGTGTGAATATTTGTGTGCGTGAATGGGTGACCAGGCAAAAAGTGTAAATCTCTTTTAGCTTGCTTTAATGCTTAGAAAAGTGTTTTATACGTTGATTTGCTATTTAAACACTGGGTTTACTCAACACAGGTGTGCAGAATAACAACTTACTGGTTTGGGTTCATTGTTCACTGACCCCCTGAGCAAGGCCAAAAGGAGAAACATGGGAGAATCCATAAGTTAAAGACAACAGGGAAACAGGAGGTAAGCTGCGGTTTCTATTGCTGTCTATTAGAGCTTGGCGGTGCATCTCCTATCAATTAAGTATTCAACTGAAAAAACTTCTGAGGTTTACCTGTCTACACTTTGAGAACCAAGAGGCAGCTTAAGGTGCTTTATGTGCTTCTACAGTAGAGTTAAAACTGCACTTTTTGAAACAGTTTAGAAATTTTATGGCTTAGACAACCATTGCTCCACACTGTAACGAGTCACAGGACTCTCTGAAGAAATCTCAAGGCAGATGTAAAGCCACTCACTGTACAATTAAACTGTTTCAACCAACTAACACCAATCACAACACAAAGTTACAACCTTAAAAATGTGAGCTTTTCTCAGCGGATGGGGGCATAGGAATAGCTAGGAAAAGTCTCCAAAATAGGGCAAAAACATATAATTTGACACAACTTATCTAAGAATTTCCAGGTTTTCTTAAACTCAGATTGACCTGAGTTTTAAAAATAAGCCTGATCATATTTTGAAATCCTTTTTTATGGTCACAGAAATTGAACTTGTAGCAAGGAAAATCTCAGAAATAGGTTAAAATGACTATAAAATAGTTCAGAATACCTAAAAGTGAGCATAAACATTTTAAAGGTCAAAATTTAGAGTAAATTGGACAGACCCTCTTTCTCAGGATAATGTGGGAAATTATGCTTGTGTTTTCATGAGTGTTATTCACTCAATGTAAATGACTATGGCACACCTCTGACTGATTTGAGAGTCAATAAATTAGTCTTTGCTAAAATATTGAAAATATGATTACTGAAAAAGTGCCAGCATGATATTGATGCATTTTGTCCCACCCTTAATGTCTGCGGTGTTGCAGGTGGTGTCTGCTCTTGACTGCATTATGTGCCTGCCCTGTTCTTATTGGGGTGGTGTACTGTATGTGTTTGTTTGATTGATTTGATTGATTGATTTTATTCTTTCAAGCATGTAAAGACAGTCGATATGTCAACACACATAATTTTACACATATCCAACAAATGCTAATCCAATATCAATTTGCTTATACCTAGTACATGCTTGAATGGAGTAGGAAGAAGTCAGACTTATCCAGTCCTACCCCATGACATCATCTTACCATCATTGGTTTACAAGCAGTATCTCTACATAAATAATTCTCTTCTACACCACACAAGTAATATACTAAAAAAATTATAACAGAGTGTTAACATTCTTACATAATTACATTCTTAAATAATTATCTTCTACACCACACAAGTAATATACTAAAGAATTATTACAAAGTGTTAACATTCATACACCACACCCACAATGTTCCATCTGGTTAATCATTAAGCCTGTTCTTGCATATATCCTGATTGACACATACCCAATTTAGACTGTATGAAAGCTCCATTGGTGTGATCCCTATACCCCATCTTATGCACAATTCTTATTGCTCTTTTTTGTAATATATACAATGGTTGAAGTGAGCTTTTGTATGTATTTCCCCAGTTTTCAACGCCATACTCTAAGTATGGTAAAATCAATGAAGAATACAAAATGCGTAGTGCTTTCCCGTCCAAAATATATCTAACCCTTGCCAATATCGATATATTTTTTGCTATTTTGTGCTGAACATATCTGATATGAGATTTCCAGGAGAATTTGTCATCAACTATGACACCTAGAAATTTAATTTCATATACTCGTTCTATATTAGCTCCCCCAATTTTCACTTGCAGTTCGTTATCTAGTCTACGGTTCCCAAATACCATAAATTTAGTTTTATCCAGATTCAGAGATAGTATATTACTGTCACACCATTTCTTTATCTTCTCAAGTTCCTGTAAAACCTGTCCAGAGAGTTGCTGTAGGTTTTCCCCGGATGCCCAAATGGTAGTGTCATCAGCAAATAAGACCACTCTTATCCATTACTAAAGCAACTAAAAGTTTGTCTTCTTTTACAGCCCAGATATCAGTGATTGGGAACATGAAGTGTGGTGTTTTGAATAAAGGCACAACCTACGCCCAGTCTGTGTTAGTAACAACACTGAGAAGGCTCTGCACACCCACACAGGTTTCAAACTGGATGGATTTCTGTGGACCAGTAAGAATAATAACAGGGTAACAAGAATAATTGGAGAGAGAAGGAGCCCAGTTTGTACACGTCATCTACATTGTCCTGACCAAACATCTAATCAGTGAAAACACCTGGGTAGGTGGGAAGAGGATCAGATGATGGAGACAAGAATGAACAGATGGACAGAACTGGATTAAACTACAGTTAGCTGCCATCTTCCTACAGCATTACTAAAGTAGAAAAAAGAGGTCACTGTGGGTGTGATATATGTTTTCAACATAATAAATCAATCTAAATAAAAAAAAAGATGCAATAAAATGCCACAGTGACTTTTCAACAAAATATTTTTGTAAAAAATGTTATCCTACCGATAGAATGGCCAGTGGGAACATGAAGCCAATAGTGAAGCGGTAGTAGTTGATCGGGTACTCCCACGGCTGCATGGGGTAGTGCTCAAAGCACACCGACTGGTTTGTGCGGTCTGTGCTCAGTTCTTTATGGCGAAAGAAAACCACACCTACTGCGATCTCCTTCATCCAGATGATGGCACTAACAATCCACGCTGCCTTCATAGATCGCAGAGAGGTGAACCTGCAGACAGGATGGACGTTAGAAACGAAAGAACAGGTCACTGGCACCAAATAAGCCTATGTTTGTTTTATATATACAGTGGGTACGGAAAGTATTCAGACCCCCTTAAATTTTTCACTCTTTGTTATATTGCAGCCATATGCTAAAATCATTTAAGTTCATTTTTTTCCTCATTAATGTACACACAGCACCCCATATTGACAGAAAAACACAGAATTTTTGACATTTTTGCAGATTTATTAAAAAAGAAAAACTGAAATATCACATGGTCATAAGTATTCAGACCCTTTGCTGTGACACTCATATATTTAACTTAGGTGCTGTCCATTTCTTCTGATCATCCCAGAGATGGTTCTACACCTTCATTTGAGTCCAGCGGTGTTTGATTATACTGATTGGACGTGATTAGGAAAAGCCACACACCTGTCTATATAAGACCCTACAGCTCACACTGCATGTCAGAGCAAATGAGAATCATGAAGTCAAAGGAACTGCCTGAAGAGCTCAGAGACACAATTGTGGCAAGGCACAGATCTGGCCAAGGTTACAAAAAAAATGTCTGCTGCACTTAAGGTTCCTAAGAGCACAGTGACCTCCATAATCCTTAAATGGAAGACGTTTGGGACGACCAGAACCCTTCCTAGAGCTGGCCGTCCGGCCAAACTGAGCTATCGGGGGAGAAGAGCCTTGGTGAGAGAGGTACAGAAGAACCCAAAGATGACTGTGGCTGAGCTCCAGAGATGCAGTCGGGAGATGGGAGAAAGTTGGAAAAAGTCACCCATCACTGCAGCCCTCCACCAGGCGGGGCTTTAGGGCAGAGTGCCCCGACAGAAGCCTCTCCTCAGTGCAAGACACATGAAAGCCTGCATGGAGTGTGCTAAAAAACACCTGAAGGACTCCAAGATAGTGAGAAATAAGATTCTCTGGTCTGATGAGACAAAGATAGAACTTTTTGGCCTTAATTCTAAGCGGTATGTGTGGAGAAAACCAGGCACTGCTCATCACCTGTCCAATACAGGCCCAACAATGAAGCATGGTGGTGGCAGCATCATGCTATGGGGGTGTTTTTCAGCTGCAGGGACAGGACAACTGGTTGCAATCGAGGGAAGGATGAATGCGGCCAAGTACAGGGATATCCTGGATGAAAACCTTCTCCAGAGTGCTCAGGACCTCAGACTGGACCAAAGGTTCACCTTCCAACAAGACAATGACCCTAAGCACACAGCTAAAATAACGAAGGAGTGGCTTCACAACAACTCCGTGACTGTTCTTGAATGGCCCAGCCAGAGCCCTGACTTAAACCCAATTGAGCATCTCTGGAGAGACCTGAAAATGGCTGTCCACCAACGTTTACCATCCAACCTGACAGAACTGGAGAGGATCTGCAAGGAGGAATGGCAGAGGATCCCCAAATGCAGGTGTGAAAAACTTGTTGCATCATTCCCAAAAAGACTCATGGCTGTATTAGCTCAAAAGGGTGCTTCTACTAAATACTGAGCAAAGGGTCTGAATACTTATGACCATGTGATATCTCAGTTTTTCTTTTTTAATAAATCTGCAAAAATGTCAATCCATCCATTTTCTAAACCGCTTAGTCCCAAACAGGGTCACAGGGGGCTGGAGCCAATCCCAGCCAGCTGCAGGGTACACCCTGGACAGGTCGCCAGCCCATCACAGGGCCAACACACAGACAAACAACCACTCTCTCACACACACACACTCCTATGGGCAATTTAGAGTCACCAATCAACCTATGCTGCAGGTCTTTGGACTGTGGGAGGAAGCCGGAGCACCCGGAGAGAACCCACACAAGCACATGCAAACTCCACACAGAAAAGCCCCAGGTTGGCCGGGGCTCGAACCCAGAACCTGCTTGCTGTGAGGCAACAGCGCTAACCACCGCGCCACCTTGCTTTGTATAGCCTTCAGCATGTTCTTGTCAGTTCAGAATGTTCTGTTTATTGGCTTATTAGTTTAGATCACTGGTGATTTTCATAGCATTGCTGGATGAGACAAACTGCACTGACACAGAGATGAAAAGCTGGAGGAGCTGCTTGACTTCTGATGCTACGATTACCTTAAAGGGTGGACCACAGCCAGGTAGCGATCCAGACTGATACAGCACAGGAAACCAATGCTGATGTAGATGTTCTCATAGAGCAGGAAACCACTGAGCTGACATAACCACTCCCTGTGACGCCAGTCATCACCCTGCAATGGCCAAATGAGCCTTCAGCATAAGAGTGGTGTACAACAGAACACCAAAAAATGTGCTGTTTGTAGAAACTGACAACACTGTAGTGCACAGTAATGTACTAACTTGCTTATAATGTGATGCAAAAATTGTTAAGCACATCCACTGTGCACATCCACTGTGAAATTTTTAAAATTACACTGAATGATTTTATGTGCAGTTATAACATTATTTGCAGCAGTTAAAGTCTTCTTCTGTACCCTGCTTCTCAACAATAAGTCAAACCTGGTGAGTTCTAGTACAACCTGAAGAAGTTAAGTGAACATCAACTGAAGATTTTTACTGTCTAGTGCATTCAACACATCAAATGGGCTGTTTTAGTGTACCTGAAAGAAGTACTGGAGCCACAGTGGTAAGGACATCAGGTACAACAGGTCAGACACCGTGAGGTTCAGTAGATAAACTCCCAGCTCATTCTTCTGCTTCAGCTGCAGTGTAGCATGGTACAGCGAGTACAGGTTGGAGGGAATACCAACCTAGAATCAAGATCTCTCACTGTGACTATTTTCAGCTTTTCTTCCATACTGTTCTTCACTTCAAGGCATGTGGTTAGAACACTTTGCCAAGGAAGAAAACCCCACATAACACTCAGTGACATTTTTAAATCCAAGTCAGTTTTAGATGGGGGAACAAGCATGATTATGGCAAATAAACTTTGGTGGGTTTGAGAAAGGTTAGAGAATTGTTGTGGTTAATGTAAAAGGCAAGCGTTGACTGCAGGTATGTGACAGAACACAACATCTTGTTCCAACATGCCCACCTCTCTGATCTCCCCATTCGTACATCCAGTGTGGATGTAATTCCTCAGGATTCTAGACTTTTTGGCTGATACAATGTGCTCGCTGATGGCCAGGGTGGAGTCCCACAGCTGAGGGCGGCAGCAGCTATAAACAGCTGGCTGCACATTTCCAAGATAACACATGCATGGCTTTGGTTCAGATTTGCTGTCACAACCCCATCGCTTTCTTTTTGTATGTCTATTGTGCAGCGTTGCAGGATGTCTGGATACTTGTTCTAGACCCATCTGTGACTTCAGCACTCTGTATTCCAAGATTTGATACATGTATAAAGCAAACTTTATTAGAAGACTCAAATCATTATCCAGCCTAGGTTGTTGATGTTGTATCGTCAGAGGTATTTTGGTGAACCCACAGATGCGTGATGTCTGCCTGTATTGAGGCAGACAGAGATGCTGTCTCTGGTTCTTCTGCATTAAACTACACAGCACTTTGTGACTGAATCACAGTGTGAGAGACAGAGGTCACACATGGGACTACAAAGGCCAGTTATTCCAGTGCTGACATAAGTAGACAGACACATTCACAGCTACTGGTGAATCGGTCTCCAGTCCACCTATGCTGCAAGACTTCAGAGTGTGGGAGGGAACAGGTCATATGTCACAACCATGAAATCAAATCTTTCTGCATACGAGATCAGAAATACCACCATAAAGGCTTATTCATGTGGACTCTTCTTGCAAATTCAACATGACCCCACTGATGCAACAAAAGACTATCAATACTGCGGTTGTTGTGTTTTCAGGAAGGAAGTGGAGGATTGCTAAAGCTTGAGACGAGAGTTTCCTGTGTCACAGTGGCCTTAATTTGGAAACAACCCAAATTTTAAAATGAATTCAGATTTAGTAGTTTTGCCCAGGTATTCAAAACATACTTACCATTAGTACAATGATATACACACAGGAGAAGACGTACTGGTGGATCTCATGGCTGATGGTGCAGTTAATCACTTCCTCCTCAGACATGGTGAGCACATCACATCCCACCCACTCTCACACTACTTCACCTTTAACATGCACACACTCACATGAACTTTTTCAGACATGTCCATACATACTCATAACTATTAACAATAACTGTGACAACACACACACACACACACACACACACACACACACAAGTTTTCATGTTGATCAGAGACTCTGCAAAAACTTAAACTCGTCTCTTCTGGTTGAGTAGTGTCTCATCTGATGGGCAGTCCACTTTCATTTGGCCTCTGTGGAGCAAAGAAGAATTGGGCTCAGTATAGATTCTAAACATTTAAATGTATATTAGATTTGGTACTGTAATTGCAATGCTTCACTGATATGAAAGAAATGATGTAGTATGACTGCTTTAACCAGACTGAGACTCTGCAGCCAGGCTATACAGTAGCAGCTCTGCGTGGTGGCGCTCACCACTATCAATCAGCAACAAGTTCACAATGACAGTGCTACTGTATCATGCTGATACTTGCATGTTCAGCACTTAATTCGCATGCTAACATCTGCTGATTAGTGCTAAACATAAAGCACAGTTTCATTAATCATTAAGACAAATTAAAATGTGATAGAGCTGTTCCATTAGCATGGCTAAAAACTGTCTGCAGACATATAAACCAAACTCATAACATCATGCTCACTTAGCTTAATTTAAACTGCTCTCTGTGTAGCTGAGATAGTGCGCAACTAAAGTGAAGAAATATTACTGGCTTCCTTGTGTAATTTTCCCATAAGTGTAAAGTTTCTACTCTCCATAGATGCACAACCAGACAGATGGCTTTCACAATTTAGGCAAGGCCCTAATGGTGCACAGAGCAAGATGGTGGATAGCAGGCAAGTATAAACTTAGCAGGTACTTCAGGTAACTATCAGGAAAGACAGTCTTACAGGGCACAGCAACCATACAGGTAAGAGTACAGTACTTGTAATACTTTCATACACCAATCAAAAGTTTAGACACATTTCCATTCAATTCAATGGGAAAGTGTGTCCAAATGTTTGACTGGTGGTGTAGGTGTCATCCAGGAGACTTTTTCAGGGATAAGCTGGGACAAGGTGTGGGCAAAAATAGTTCAGCGCCAGGTAAGCACAGAGAAGAGCAGATAAGTCAGGCAGGAAGCAGGCAACTGAAGGTCACACACAGGCTGGACTGAGAGTTCACACAGGGAGCAAGCCGAGTTGAGGTAAAAGACAAGACAGCAGTTCTTTGTGGCATTGCTGGAAAAAAGTGGAAATAGCCAGAATCATTTTTACAAGCTGCCAGACCATATTATTAGAAGTGACAGCCGAGCACTCATTCTTAACATTTGCAAAGTGATAATGACTGAGTGAGAACAATGACTGATGAGCCATGACACTGAAGAGATGGAAGTGTACATTGTTACACATTGGTACACATTGGTACTTGTTACATGTAAGCACCAGTTATGAAACTAAATATAAACAAACCCTTCATCCATATTTTATCCAGACTGGTTGCACAGCAGTAGAATATATCTGCAGAGAGCCACATCTGATGGTTGCCCCCTGGCTGAAACCTGCAGCATCCTTTAGCCTGAATTCTTACATTACCACATCCATCCTGTGGCCACACTGCATCATGTCTTTGGCAGTAGCCACTGTAAAACTGCTTGCTGCCTGTTTCAGGATATTATTTCTCACGCTACCTGAGGATGTTAATGGTGTTTCTCTGACTCCTCCTGTCTTAACTGATTGTTGTATGATGATGTAATGTTCAGGACAACATGTGCTGAGAATTCATTACTCCAGTGTTAATAATCTGCTGTTTAATGAGCCTTTTAATGTACTAGACAAGATTCGTAATATACATATTTGCAGTGTGTAATGAGCTGTGGGCCCCTCCTGGAGGCTTTTAACTCAGTGAAATGCACCAGCATTATACTGGAAAAGGCCTTAGACTACATTTCAACTCAAGCGCTGCAGTCCTGACCTTCTATATAAAGAACAGCAGCTGTTGTGTGGAAGTGGGAAACTGTAAGGGGGATGCTGAAAAACTGCTAACAGTCATCATTTATTTATGGGTACAAATGTATAACTATGAGTGCACTGACTTTTGCAGAGCAGTTTTACTTTTCCTCCCTCACCTCGACAGTGCCCAGTCACTCAGTGCCACTGATTAAACACAGTTATCGCAGCAAGACTGTAGCAACCAAACTACACACCTGTAACAAACCGCCATTTCTGTTATTTGTGAAACCTGACTAGTAAAGTAGCAGATTACCTGAAACACTGGAGTGAAATGAAAACTGAAAACACCTGGGGATGCTGGGAAACAGGGCTAGTGAAAAGGAGAGGAGACTCCTTCACATAGGGACAGCTTCTTTATGGGGTTGGCTGATAGAGTTTTCTCTTTTGTCACTGTGCTTTCAGCTTTTTAAGTCTGCGTTTGCTTACACTTTCAGCTGCTCTTACATCCTCAGGCAGACTGTCCCAGCAGTTTGGAGCATAAAAACTAAACGCGGCCTTACCAAAGCTCTTTGTCCTGAACTTTCAAACAACTAAAAGACTAAAAGGATCAGAGGACCTGAGTGGTTCATACACTGGAAGCACATCAAACAACACGGACAATACAGAAACTGACAGGCAACCAGAGCAAGGGCTCTAAAACAGGTGTGATCTGTTCTCTCCTTCTGGTCCTGTCAGCACACAGGCAGCTAAGGTCTGAATCAGCTGTATCTGATTTATATAACAGCCTGCATCACTTCTCTGTGTTGTCCAGACAAACAAATGGATGCAGTTTAGCAGTATAGCGAAACAGTACAAATTATATCACATACTGTATAGTCTAATACTATGTGGGAGCATTTTCAGTAGCATATGAGAGGAATTTCAATGGCATGTGGACGTACAGATGTGTGTCTGAGAGTGTTTCTTATTTGTGTGAGAGGCCAGTATCTGATTAATAACCTGACCTCAGATATATTGTCAGTTACTTCCGCTGATGCTGTTACAAGAAATCAGTCGGTGAAAATAAGCAGAATTTATGCACAGTGTTGCTTCCTTTTCTGTGAACTCCAGCTTCATCGTCACACTGAGTCAACAGAGAGTGAAACCTCTGAGTGAAACCTCCACTGCACTTTTGTATTTTGGCATCCAAGCATCTTTAGAATGACTCCATAATTACCTACTATAAAACCATCTAGAGCCACTTTAACACAACACAAGCCACAAGCATCATCTTTCTCTTTCACTCCCAGTCTGTCCTTCTCTATGACTCTGTCTCTCCAGTCTTCCTAAATAAACCACAGTCTGATTAAGGCACATTCTTTATGTGCCGGAGGTTTCATGTGTCCCCATCGCACTTTTAGCTGCACACTGGACCACGTTGGTTTCCAAACTAGTTGCAATGTCACTACATCATTTATACATCGTACATTAAACTGAGATGTAAGCTGAGCACAGAGAAGCTTTCCTCTCTTGGCAGATAATATGTGAAAACTGTTGCACTGCGCAATGAAGTGCAAACATCCAAGTGAAGCAACAAAAAGCAAAACACATTTCTGACTGTACAGAGACTGCATTGACCTCAGTGGAATCATTTTTATGTAAGGGCCAAATACTGAATCAGTACCCGAATGCTGTTACTGTAACTGATGCTTTTAACACAAAATTTTATAATCACATTCATGAAGATCTATTTAAAATTGCTTTGGTTGATTACTTAATCATTTAATCACTTGGGAGCAGCACAAACAAGTTCTGAACACATAAACTGGCACATTAATATGAGAAACTTGTTAGCAAACAGTTGGCTGTTTATCCAGCCAGTAGAAAGGGAACAACGTGTTTCTGGCAACCAACATTCATTTCCCTTTAAGCTCTGTTTTGGGCTCCACCACCTCTTAGCTGTTAAGCTTTGAAATGTTTCACTAGCCAACTGTGACCGTCTGCTCTTGAGCTGCCTGCTGCGGCCAAAAACATCCAGTGAGCACTGTGAAAGTAAAATTAACCAGCAAGGTTGAGGGTGGCAAAATTAAAACAGTGAGCTAAAGACCTCTGTAGAGCAACGGGGAAGTGCACTATGACCAACCCTTCTCATGCATAAGGAGCCATGTGATCTATTTTAATATAAAAATACTGATTACAGCTGCTTTGTTTTGCTACAGACTAAATGCCAGTGTTTGACATCAGGAACATTTCACGGATAAAATCTGTTGCTGTAAATTTGTTAAATAAATTTTCATTGTAAAGTAAAATCTGACAAAATGTTCAACGACTTCATCACTCGTGTGGCAGCTCTGTGCTGACCTGAACATCTGCACTGTCTGAGAACTTTTCAGAAATTTTAAGATGCATTTTAAGTGCAAGCTGCTGGTGCCACACTGAGGCTTGCTGACAAAGCATGATGCTGTCATTATTATTGGCTGCAGCAAATACACTGCTGTCATCACACACTGCAGCAGTGACCGCTGATTTACAGAAGCAGTGATTACTGTAAGCACTTGGCTAAAGAAGCAGGGACGTTAACATGAAACACAACCAATAAATGAATGAATGAAGTTATAAATAAATTAATACAATTTTAAAAGTTTCATTAACAGGCCGTCCATCACTTTCTTTTCTGAGCTCAGTCTTCATCTAAATCACTCAACATGAATGAGCAGCCAAACTTAAGGTGTAAAACAGAAAGTAAATACATTATATTTAAAATACCTCATTAGAATTAAGTTATCAGGAAAGAGTTGGGGACCAAGTTGATATTGCAAACAAGTTGGCAAACACTTATTTAGACTTCCAGCAGTTACAGACACATCATTCATTTGGAGTCATGTTTCTGGTCACCAGGTTCCTCTTATTGTTGGTGTGAGGACATTATTCCCTACAAAGACGAGACCAGAGAAAGCATGTGTGTGACAATGCAGAGGCAGACACTTGTTACCCAGTGATCCAGTGAAAACAGAGTGCAGGCGAGTCTGTCAGCCCAGAGACAGAGAGCAAGAGAAGGGGAAAACACCCAGTGCAGCTGGCAGTGGTACATGTCTGAGCCCCGTCGGCTACTGTTGCTGCATCTGCCAACCATTCCAGTCTCACACTGCACATAGTCAGTTTGTGGTGGTGGTGGCAGATTTATATTTTGAAACAATTGGTCCTCGACATTAAATGGAAGTCGACCACAGTTTATCAGTTGTGTTAACTTACTAACATTAAATTGAGGGAAGTGGTTGGAAGTTCTCTTTCTCTCTCTTTCTGTAGCGCTGTTGCCCCACAGCAAGAA